TGTCACTGTACATGCGTGAGTGGCGTCATCGGCTATTGCCAATGTAAAAATCTCCTAAATGGTACATGTTTAGGAAATATTCATCAGAGGCATCCCTAGGGTTGGTGTCACCCGGTAACACTTGGTGACACCCCCTCCGACGATCCCTGCAGAATGGATCAGATCTGCAGATTGAGAATTATTATTATTATTATTATTATACAGGATTTATATAGCGCCAACGGTTTGCTCAGCGCTTTACATTATAAATGGATCAGACTCCGATCCATTATGCTCAGTCCGCAGATCTGATCCATTCTGCGGGGATCGTCGGCTTGCTTTACAACTTACCTTTTCGTGGAACGGGTCCGGTGTCACCCCCATGCGGTTGGTGTCACCCAGTGCGGGCCACACTCCCCGCACCTGCCTCGGACGTCAGCAGGGGCGGACTGACCATTTGGAAACTCAGACACTGCCTGAGGGTCCGGGGTCAGTAGGGGCCCCATGAGATGCCCCTGGTACCTTTTTCATAGGCTTTTTTGAGTTTGGGCAAGGACACTGGGGCCCCATGATCCCCTATTGCCCGGGGGCCCCATGAGTTGTCAGTCCGCCCCTGGACGCCACTGATATTCATTGCACAGGTGAACCTGATTGTAAGCTTACCTGTATATACCTGTTCACATGCAGAGTTGACTACTGCGTAAGGCTTGGTTCACATATGTGCAGGTGGTCCTGCTGCAGATCCGCACAAAAATCTGCAGCCGCACCACCCATACAGAGGACTGCGCACCCGCGGGCAGGTGCCATTAGTTCTGGTGACATCCTCCCTTGCTAATACTCTAACATGTTACAAGAGTGACATCTACTGGCTATGTGGATGTACAGAAATTAAAGAATTCTGAGTCATGAGTGCTTGTAAATGAATTGAGAGACTTTTCATTATGACCAATATTTCCTGTAGAAGATTTAACTGTTCAATAGTTAAATTTACCTCATAAATTTGGGCAGATGTGGGATTTGTTTTTAAAAAGATACATAAATTATGTAGCCTATTTTGCACAATATTTGCTTTCAGTTTTGCTTCATTTTGATAGGTTTGATGGGGTTAAAGTTATATTAAAGGCATGCTTTAAAAAAAAAAAAAAGTCATACTTACCTGCTCTGTCCAGTGGTTTTGCACAGAGAAGCCCTAATCTTCCTCTTCTCAGTTCACCCATCTGCGTTCCTGGCCCCTTCCTCCTGCCCCCAGAGCACGCAGCTTGCTATAGGGGCATCCAAGCAAGCTTGCTCCCAAGCTTCTGCTCTGCGTGTCCATTCACACACAGAGCTGCAGCTCGGCTCTGCCCCTCTCTTTCCTCATTGGATCACTGTCTGTGATTGCCAGCAGTGGGAGCCAATGGCTCCCTCTGCTCTCAAAGCCAATGAGAAGGGAGAATCCCAGGAGAGCACATTTCTGGATTATGATGGGGCTCAGGTAAGTACAGTTGTGTTCAAAATAATAGCAGTGTGTTGAAAAAAGTGAATCAAGCTCAAAATCCTTCTAATAGCTTTTATTTCCATACACACAAATGCATTGGGAACACTACACATTCTATTCCAAATCAAAACATGAAGAAAAATATATCAAATTTGTGTTGTTCCTCTAAACAAATTGAAGAAAAGTGAATATTAGACTGTTCAAAAAAATAGCAGTGTTTGTATTCTTCTTTACAAACTCAAACATTCACTATATAAACTGAAAAATGTTTAAAGATTTTGCTTTCCTTTGAATCACTTAATGAATATTTAGTTGTATAAGCACTGTTTCTGAGAACTGCTGTACATCTGTGTTGCATGGAGTCAACCAACTTCTGGCACCAGTGAACAGGTATTCCAGCCCAGGATGATTGGACTACATTCCACAGTTCTTCTCTATTTCTTGGTTTTGCCTCAGAAACTACATTTTTGATGTCACCCCACAAGTTTTCTATTGGATTAAGATCCGGGGATTGGGCTGGCCACTCCATAACGTCAATCTTGTTGGTCTGGAACCAAGATGGTGCATGTTTACTGGTGTGTTTGGGGTCATTGTCTTGTAGGAACACCCATTTCAAGGCCATTTCCTCTTCAGCATAAGGCAGCATGACCTCTTCAAGTATTCTGATGTATTGAAACTGATCCATGATCCCTGGTATGCGATAAATAGGCCCAACCGTAGTATGAGAAACATTCCCGTATCATGATGCTTGCGCAACCATGCTTCACTGTCTTCACAGTGTACTGTGGCTTGAATTCAGTGTTTGGGGGTCGTCTGACAAACTGTCTCCGGCCATTAGACCCAAAAAGAACAATCTTACTTTCATCAGTCCACAAAATGTTGCGCCATTTCTCTTTAGGCCAGTCAATGTGCTCTCTGGCAAATTGTAACCTCTTCAGCACATATCTTTTTTTCAACAGTGGGACTTTGCGGGGGCTTCTTGCAGATAGCTTGGCTTCACATAGGCGTCTTCTAACTGTAACAGTACTCACAGTTAACTTTAGACCTTCTTTGATCTTCCTGGAGCTGACTGTTGGCTGAGTCCTTGCCATTTTGGCTATTCTTCTATCCATTCGAATGGTAGTTTTTCACTTTCTTCCATGTCTTTCAGGTTTTGGTTGCCATTTTAAAGCATTTGCGATCATTTTAGCTGAGCAGCCTATCATTTTCTGCACTTCTTTATATGTTTTCCCCTCTCCAATCAACTTTTTAATCAAGGTACGCTGTTCTTCTGAACAATGTCTGGAACGACCCATTTTCCTCAGAATTTCAGAGAGAAATGCACTGTAACCAGCATGTACAACATTTGCTGCCTTCCTTCCTTAAATAATGGCAATAATTGCCACCTGTTTTTCAAAGAATGAATGACCTCACTAATAGAACTCCACACTGCTATTATTTTGAACATGCCCCTTTCAATTAGTGATTCAATGACACAGAATCAGCAGCATGTCATGACTGTTGGGTCTGTTGGATTTCTATTACTCTACTACACCTGCTAGTAAATTATTTGCCATGTAGAAATATCATTTCTACCAAAAACAGTGAGTGATCAGGTTAGTGATGACTGACTGCTATTATTTTGAACACAACTGTATTAGGGGGACTGCTGCATGAAGGTTTTTTACCTTCATACATAGAATGCATGAATGTAAAAGATCCTGAGCCTTTAGAACCACTTTAATTTTTTGGGGGAAAATGTCAGAAAGTCTTCATAGATCAGTAACATTTTTTACTTGATTTTCCTGTATTAATTTAAATTATTACAATATTTTCATACAACTTTAAGAGAACTTCATTTCCCCCTCTCTTTTTTTTTTCTATCCCTTCTTACCCGGTATGCAGCACTGTCGTTTCCTCAACCACTGGACTAATTTGTCCTCATGTCCAGTGTTGGGTCAGAGGCTTTTTATTGGACTTGATGATGTTAGAGTACCTGTGACTACCAAGGCAAAGGGAAGAAGAGGCTGTGGGGTCGGTCTTACAGCCTGGAGCGAAATTTGTTGAAGTGGAGAGTCAAGAAAGCGAAATTGCTTTTTGCGGCCTCCTAGACTTAAACGACCATTTAAACCTTGCAGTGTGGGGGCAGTCCCAATGTGAAGGACAATTTTTATTTTTTCTGGAGTTCAGCTTTGAAGGAGAAGTAGGACCAAAGCACTGTCGGATGACATCACTGAACAGGTCCTGGCTCTGGAGAGATGCCAAACTTTAAAGTTGGGATCCACCGTGATTCCTGACTGGCAGTTGGCTCAGCCTCTTAGCAAGCCGTATATTTGCGCACCTGTCTTTGCGGCGCTCTCCCAGCAAAAAAAAAATGCAGTGTCACTGAGAGTCCCAGGTCCCGTTCTAATGACCGGGACCCGGGACCTGGGACTCCCGATTCCGGGTCACAGGATCGCTGTGATAGCCTCTGATAGCCAACTATCACAGTGATCAGTCACTGTACAGCCCGGCCCCCTTGTGTTTTTTTCCCTCTCTATGAATGGAGGAGAGAGATACATTGTATCTCTCTATCTCCTGGCATAGAGGGAAAAAAATGTTTGTAAAAAAAAAAAAACAGAAATAAATAAATATTAAAAAATAAAATAAAAAAATAAAGAAAAAATACCTAGATCAAGGTTTGATCTAGTTCAGTGCCAGGTTAAGTGTTTGGGTCAAGGTCAGGGTCAAAGGTCAAGGTCAAATGTCAGGATTTAAACAAAAAAATTGGTATCAGTGTCAGTGTATTTTAGGTAAGAAGCAAAACAAAACAAAATGCGCACTATTGTTTCTGGGCTGCACTACGGGTACAAACAACAAATAACATACACATATATGATATCGCTGCGATCGTCAAGAGCTGGAAAATTTATTTTGGGTTGTTCTTTGATGGTAGGTTATGGTAGTAACAACAAACACACAGCTAAATTTTAGAAAATGATTTATTTTTTTTACTATTTTGGGCCAGTTTTCCTTTGATAATAAAAAAAATCAGGAGATATCCATTACCATTTACCACCAAATGAAAGCCCAATTTGTCCTGAAAAAAACAAGGTATAATTCACCTGGATGTACAAAGTAGTTGTAATGATATGTACGATTTTGCTAACACATGTCATCGTTGCAAAATTGTGCTTAGGCATTTAGATTTGTTTTACCCTTAGGGGTGAAGGGGTTAATTTACATACAGCCTCTTATGAAAGTACCTAGTGCTACCAGCAGAAGATAACTATCAGGAACAGTGGTGTATAGAATATGGATCTATAGAAAGAGCAGTAACAGAACAGCTACACAGAAGTCACAGCTACACAGGGTCAGATTTTATAAAAAATGAGGTACACAGAAACACAACCCTGCATTATACACAAAGTGAAAGTGGAACGTACACATTATAGTATGTAAGGTAGGATGTGCATTTGTGCCAGCACAGCACTACAGATGTTAACACTCTTAACATGCAGATAATTATCTGAAGCACAGTGTTTACACAGACTGAAAACTTTTCTACCAATTTTGTTTTCTGTAGGTGTTCGCCCATACAAATGCCACTTGTGCGACAAAGCCTTCACTCAGCGATGCTCACTGGAGTCACACTTGAAGAAAATACATGGAGTGCAACAGAATTATGCCTATAAGGAACGTAGGAACAAACTCTATGTTTGTGAGGACTGTGGATTTACAGCAGACAGCCAGGAAGCACACCTTCATCACATCCAAAATGTACACCCCAACAGTTCCCTAATCCAGCGTGCCTCCAAAAAATTGGCTGTCAATCTGCAAGATGATGTTAGCCCCTTGCTACACAGTAGCCATATTATTTGAGCAATTTTGCTCTGCATAGACATAATCGAGCTTTGGAATCATTTCAATGGAACTGCTAGTCATGGACATTATATTAACCAAGAACTTTGCAAGAGGGAAAATTACACCCAACACTGTCTATGGCTGATTACCAGTTCAGAAAAATAACGATTGTCTATCCTATCTGTATAAGAAAAATGCATCCATTTCTCTCAATGATATGATTAGACAAGAAAATCCTGAAGTCATTACAAAAATAACTATGTTAAAGGGAAAGTGTATTACTACTGAGCACTCATTTTTATTATTACTACAGTATTTACCTTAAAGTCATTTTGATGGAACTTTTACATTAAATGCTTGCTTTTGTATGTGTTTGTTATTGAATTAAAGGTTATTTAAACCCATAAACTCTCAGGCTCCCCCCACATTTTCACTTGGTAATCATACAAATAATACTGCCTGCCCTAAGAAGACTACACTAATTCTACTGCATCTATTTAGGAAATAGGGCTTCTTTCCCTATTTGGACTACAAACTTTTTTTTGCTCTTCATCAGTATTACATAGATGTCAGAGGAATTTGTTATTGGAAGGAAGATAACCTTATTTGTGATTTTAGTAGAATTCACAGGAAGCTCCAATCATTTTTGTCTAGATGTTCAAAACAGCATAAATGCATACCTGGAAAGAGAAGCGCAATACTTGCAGTCAAGGCGTATTTGACACACCCAGCATCAGTTATGGCAGTTTAAGGTTTACAAAGGAAGGGTAAAAATTAGCTTGAAAAGTTTAGGTGAAAGATATCTAGGACATAAAATAGTTGTAGGGATACATAACATACAAATGAGATGCAAGTCCTAGGGCCCCCTCATCATATTGTGGCTCTCGAGTTCCTGTGTAATAATATAATCATGCTGAAGTATGAATATATCAAAGGTCAATGCCCAGAAGTAGCAGAATGTGTCATTTTGGAAGGCTTAGGCGAAAGAAAGCTATTGCATAAAATAGTTGTTGGGATACATGCCATACAAATGAGATGCAAGTCCTAGGGCTCCCTCGTAATATTGTGTCACTCGAGTTCCTGTGTAATATTATAATCATGCTGAAGTGTGAATTTATCAAACATCAATGACTGATGGTAGCAGAATGATGCAGGGTAATTAATAGGGACGTTGTGGATAGGGAGGATCAGAATGAGATACAGAATAGGTAGCAAGGGTATCTGGTAAGGGCTAAAAGTTGAAAAGTGGAGGGACAGGAAAAGAGAAGGGAAAGTACACGAATAAGGAAACCCTGATTAATACATTTGTGACCACGTTGGATACAAACGTGGTTTGGAAGGAATGTACAGGTAGGTTCAAAGACAGAAATTAAAATTGTAACGGAATGTACATGTTCAGTCAGTAGGAAATCTTTTGAACTCGTCTGTACAGAAAAATTCAGTACAGTAAAACAACATGTAAAGAAACTTAAGAGTGTGTGTTTTTCATGAGCTAATGAGGATCTCCATTAACATAATATCAGCCTGTTTGATGCACAGGGGTGAAGAGGATTTCCACAATACTGGGATGCAGGAGTGTGCTGCATTGGACAAATGTCAAAGGACTGATTTTTGAGTTATGATAGAGAAGAAAAACTCCTATGGATAGTTCTATCTGTAATTGTTAGGGTTATCTCACATACGTCTATCCAAAAGTTGCTAAAGATCAGACAAGACCGGAAGATCTGTAACAGATATCCAGCACATTGCTGGAAAGGAAGGGTAGATGACATGGAGTACTGCTGGTGTGCAGGACCAGTGGGTAACAATTGCATAGCTGGATTCCTGTTATTTATTGCTTATAGAAGACTTGTAGGACATGGTAAGACACATATATTGTGCCTATGATGACAAGGTGACACTGTGGTCCTTCTCCCAGTGCTCCAAAAATTGCACTGGGTTCTTGAGAAAGAAAGAGCATGTCAGATCAGTCCAGCTGTTTAACGTTCCTATTCAACTGGAATAATGCACATGAGAATTTAGCTGGAGTCAGCAGTGATCACAGGAAACAGCCATCTTGTAATATTTGCATTATGCCTTGAGAGGAAAACACTGGATCCATTGCCATTTGGGTGGGGGACAACCAGGATGAGTGGCTTAGAAAATATTTCACACACCATTTTTTCTCCTGGAGGCCAAGAAGAAAATTGGGGTTTCTCAAAATGAGAGTAAGGAGTGAGGCAAACAGGACAATCCATGAGATTGGAAAGCTGTCTTACAGGTCTGCCTAGTTGCCCTAAAAGGGGATGTTTATTTAGGTCAGGTGCAGCGAGCATAGGGGACCAAATAAGTGCTTTTAAAGAGACAGGAGAGGCTTCATGTTCAATTGTCAACCATTGTTTAAAATACTTCTGTCTACACAAATTCAGGGCTACAGTTATGTGGGTGTCAATGTAGTAAAGCCATATATGTCTGAGCATACCATAACACCCAGTTCCTTTGGTCTCCAAAGGATGATCTTCTTTATGTGCACAGGTTTGGAGGACCAAGTTTTTATAAGGAATTGAATGTAAAATGTAACCTATAGGGTTCCACAGTGAGTATAACAAGCATGCTTTACTGCATATGCAGTCGGATTTTAATGTTGTGGGTTTAGTAACACTTTAAATACAATCACAAAATGTAGGCTCAAGAGTGAATGAAAACCCATCTGGGCCAGGAGCCTTACTGGTTTTAGTGGATTTAACTGCTAGGAGGAATTGGGATGATTCAATCAGTTCTTCAAGTACTTGAGAGCTACAGGTGTCTAGGGAAGGTAAAAATGGGATTTTTTTGTACTCACCGTAAAATCTCTTTCTCTGAGTTAATTGACAGACACAGCGCCATCTTCAACATTAATGAAGCAGGGTTTTATAGCCCCACCTACAAGAGTAGGACACTAGGCAGAAAAAATTACTTGGCACCTCCTATGGGCAGTCCTCTCAGGGTATAAAACCCCCTCTCTGCTATAGGTCTCCAGTCCGTCACAAGGAGAGATCTCCCTAGAGGGGTGGGTGCTGTGTCCGTCAGGGAACTCAGAGAAATGGATTTTACGGTGACTACAAAAAAAATCCTTTTTTCTCTTACGTTCAATGACAGACACAGTGGCTTCTTCCTTAACATTAACGAAGCAGGGATGTCTCTAAGCAGTGCCAGAATGTAGGGAGGGCAACCATACAATGTAAAAAGAAGAACAAGCCAACACTCCGAACAACCCCAAAAAGGGAGGCCCAAGAGCCCTAAACAGCCGCCTGCAACACTTTGCGGCCAAAACTAGCATCAGGGGATGCCAACACATCAACTTTATAGAACTTCGTAAACGTGTGCACAGACAACCAGGTCATTGCCTTGCAAACCTGAGAAACAGATGCCTGATGTTGGAAACGCCCAGGAGGCACTTTCCGCCTTAGTGGAGTGTGCCGTAACTGGGAAGGGAGGCTCCTGCCCCTTAACAGCATATGTCTGAAAAATCGTCTGCCGAATCCAACGAGAAACAGTGTCAGAAAATGCTGCCAGGCCCTTCTTTGGACCATTCGTGAGGACGAAGAGAAAGATTGACCTCCGAAAGGCAGCAGTTACAGACAAGTACATGCGAATCACATGGACCACATCAAGGGAATGCCAGGGCCACCTCTTTAGGGTGTGTCAGTCAAGGAGACAGTGAGGGAAGAACAATATCCTCATTCAAATCTAAATCTGACACCACCATATGCAGAAAGGAAGGGAAAGGCCGAAGCACCACCTTGTCTTTGTGTAAAACCATAAAAGGCGGCTTACAGAACAAAGCTGCCAACTTGGACATCCTTCGAGCTGAAGTGATAGTGACAAGGAAGGCAACCTTTTGCGAAAGTATAAGCAAGGGGATTTCCCGAATGGCCTTAAATGGAGGCCTCTGAAGAGCTGACAAAAGGGAGCGCACAGGAGGGACCATGTGACGAACCCCCTGAATGAAAGCAAGGACCAAAGAACGTGTAGCTATGGGCCACTGAGAGAAAACATCGAGAGCAGAAACTTAAGCCTTGATTGTGCTCAACGCAAGCGAACACCCGAGCCACAACGAAGGAAAGAGGCTGGAACACTAAGGCTTTACACCAACCAATATAGGCTCTTCAGGTGCAATGATAAATCTTCCGGGAGGTAGACTTACAGGCTTTCAACATAGTCGGAATCACCAAACCACACAATCCCCTGTCCTTAAGAACCTGCCTCTCAATAGCCATGCTGTCAAAGCCAGCGACGGTAAAGCAGGGTGGAAGCCTGGCCTTTGAGACAGAAGGTCTTTCCGAAGAGGCAGCCTCCAGGGAGTATCCATCACAAATTGCACTATGTCGGCTTACCACAGACGAAGAGGCCAGTCTGAAGCAATGAGGATGACTGGGATCCCTTCGGCCTCCATCCTGCGTAATAGACGAGGAATCAGTTGAAGGGGTGGGAAGGCGTAGATGAGAGTGTACTGATCCCACGGCACCACCAGCGCATCCACTGTGTCTGCCAGAAGATCCACATCCAGAGTCCCCCAGTGAATGCAGAGCTGATGGAACACTTCCAGATGTAGGGACCACTTGCCCTGATCCAGGGTCTGATGGCTTAGATAATCTGCTTGCCAGTTTTCCACACCTGGAATTTGTACAGAGGACAGAGCCGGAACAAACCTCTCACTGCAGAATGTGAGAGGCCTTCAGCACAGCTGCTGCACTTCTCGTGCATCCCTGATGATTGATACAAGCCACCACAGTGGCATTGTCCGACTGAATCCTGGTCGGTAGACCCTGCAGATGGTCCATCCAATGTGTCAGTGACAACCTGATTGCCCGAAGCTCCAGGATATTGATGGGTAAGCAAGCTTCCCCCGGAGTCCATCGATCCTGAGCAGAGTCTGCTCCAAGGACTGCTCCTCAGCCCGACAGGCAAGCATCTGGCAAGCAAATGGAGAGGAAAGACTTTCCATTCCGTAGAGCCGGGGATCTCATCCACCAAAGAAGGGAGGCCCTCGTTGACCA